TCCCTCCTTCTTCTCTTCTCGCTCTTTCTTTCCCTCCTTCTTTCCTTCTCTTTCTTTCACTCTTTCATTCCTTCGTTCCTTCTCTCTACTCTCTCTCTCTCCTTCCCTCTTTCCTCCTTCTGCGGCCCAACTCTAGTGAGAAGGGGTTTAAACTTTAAACCCCTTCACTCCTCCCCCGGGGAGGGGAAGGGAAGGCTTTTGAAGATGCCCCCCCTTGCTTCCCCTTCCGACATCCCTTCCGGTGATGTCAGGGGGTGTTGCATATGCTAATGAGCTATTATGCTAATTGCCTTAGCATACCGTATGCTAATGAGCTCCTGCAGCTCTTTTTCTAGGAAAAGACCCATGCAGACAGATATATGGTGCCCTATCTAAACTAGGCTGGCAGAGAGAGTTACTCCAAAGTCAGTCCCATGGGAAACCAACCTGGGGTGCTTCTTCAGGAAAGTTACAACCTCTGCTCCCATGCACTCCAACAACATACACTCCCCCCCTTAGGAATTCAAGATGACAAGCAAAGGTAATGAAAAACAGAACTTAAAGAAATCGAAAGTTAGTCTGAGCTTGACACTGGGCTATATTTTGAGTATCCCAAATAAAGGGGAAAGCAAACTCTGCAGGCCCTGAATCTAGTACTAGATTCTAGTTCTAGACTCTAGTACTAGACTAATCTAAACCATAAAGACGTCTCAAAATCAACTTTCTAGAGGTTAAACGAAAGCTATCGATATCATTAGGGGAGATCCCCACGCAATCCAAACAAGAGGTTACCAGACAAGAGGCCTTTATCCTCAGTATCTGAACAGAGCTGACATTTGTAAAAGACATTGCTTCTATGGAAGGGGTGAGACCAGATAAAAAGAAAGTGCTAGCTATAGCTATGGCTACCGAGTGAGAAATAGCTGCTCAGTATTCTGTATGAGTGTGAAAGATTGAATCAAGAAATTTATAGACAGACAGTGGCTGTGGAAATGGGTCATAAGCTTTTTATAACTTTATTTATCAAATCACGGAATGGCTGTACATTACAAATCCAAAGAATGATGATCAAGCTACAGAATATGGTTTGGCTTTGACGTATAAACCAAGCAAACTACTGTTCACCGCTGAAGCACTTTCCACCCCCCACCCCCCCTGGTGACAGCAGAAAAGAATTTGGAGAGTGAGATGAAAGCTTTCGTGGACATGATTATGATTCACTTCTAGAAGCAAATAAGCCATTGTAGCATATTAAAAGAAATCCAGCACTGCAGACTCTGATCCAAGTTTTGAACGCCCAAGGGCCAGAAACTAAAGATAAGTAATCTGAAAATCAGGCACTACTGGAATTGTAGTTATGATCTCACAGTGATAGCTGTAGTAATCTTTAATGGGAGCAAAGTAGTATCCTACACAAACAAAGTGTTGCAGAAATCCATAAGGCCTTTTAGGAAAAGGAAAGTGCAGAAAATTAGCTTGAGAACTTTTGTACTAGCCCAGGATTAATCAAGACATATCAAATATCACCTTCCTAAAATATTATTTATTCATTTATTTAAAGACTTATTAATCATCTTTCTACCTTGTGGTACTCAAAGTGGCTTACAATAGGCCACACCAACAACCACAACCACTGAGTCCACACAGTTTCACCGTAGGGCATACCAGAAAGTAGTCACTGATTTATTTACATGGAATTCCAAAGATTATTTAGTAACCGCAGACTATTATTTTTGATGTCTAGAAATATGTGCACTGATAAGTAACTACTAGCAACATATTGATTGCCAGCCAGAAAGGAAATTTTGTACAACATGGTATTCCAGAGGCAATTTTTAGTGACAACACCCCAAAATTTTCCTTCACAGCATTCAAGAATCTTGCCAAAGACCAGAAAGTTCAGCGCAATGCATCTAGTCCAAACTTTCTTCAGTCAAATGGACCTGTTGAAGGATCTATCCAGATGGTCAAAATCTGACAAAGAAAGCTTTTGACAGCAGCGATAATTTGGGTATGTAACTGATGAATTATAGCAGCCTCTCCATAGAGAATACTTGGTCCTCTACTCCGCTTTTAATGGGAAGTACATTATTAGCTGATTTGCCCATAACTGATGATTTACTGAAGAAGAATAATAAAAGTCTCAGGATGATGAAGATAATTCAGCAACTGAAATGAAAAATATTGTTTTGACACAAGAGCCTCTGACTTTCCAGATCTAAACCAGGGACCAAATTTGCATCAGATATCAACCCACTCATATATGTAATAATAAAAAAGGACACTTATGGACCAACCTATCCAAGGTCTTAGTTGATCCTTATTGCCACCAGAAATTTACTGCACTGAAATCACCATGACACTGTTAGTGTGGCGTTGCCTGCCCACACCAGTAGGATGCAAGTAGCTGTAAGTATCCAGTAAAGAAGATAGTCCAGGCAGCTGAGTGTAAAATGTTTTTCTGGGAAACAGCTCCCACCTTTAGACCCAAGCTATTCTTGCTACTGTACAAGGCATGCTGGGAGTTGGAGTCTTAAGAGGCGTTTATCATCCAGATGCAAAACCTCTCTAAATCCAATTTCTATTTCCACCCTGCCATTTGAGGAGCAAGAGCAAACTAGGTAACAAAAGGCCCCGTCCAACTTTTTAACGCATGTGCTCCCCTCCAGAAGGTTCAATGCAGAACTGGAAGTATCATACGAATTCCATTTGAGCCTCAGCCTTGAGCAACGAGAAGAGGATGCCGGAAGCTGTAGTTCAACAACACAGGAGCACCAATACAGCTATCCCGAGATTGGGGTGGGGTGTGTGTGACCTTCAGAAGTAGGTTGCCATAGACTTGCCTCTGCGTGGCGAGCCTGGACTTCCTTGATGGTCGCCCACCCAAGTCCTGACCAGGGCTGACCCTGCCTAGGAAAAAAGGAGGGGGGAAAGAGAAGAGCGGGAAATACGCATGTGCACTAATGTCGTCCGTATTCGCCTCACAGAAGAACGAATTTTTCCGCACTACCGACCCACGAGAAGAAGTATAGTGGGGGCTTCATCATAGAGATGCAGAAAGATAGAGCGTCACCGGAGAATATTCGGGCCGATGGTGACTTAAGCGGAAGTTCAACCTCGGAGTCTCTCGAGGCATTTCCTGTCTTTTTGTTTTGTTTTCTCCGCCTGTGAGGAACTGCCGAAGACACTTCTAGTTCCTGGCACGCTCGGCGGTTTAAGTGCTCTGCGCGGTGCATCCTGGGGTCTGTAGTCCCTGCGTTCTGAGAGGAGGCCGAGCGGCAACCTAGCTGGGCCTCTTGCTCGTCAGAGGTCTTTTTCGCTCCACGCGCCGGGGCTCTTTCCCGCTAGCGCTGGGCTAAGGAGGTAGTCGACGGCGTAGCCGGCAGGATGGCGCGGCAGGGCAGTCGCGGGGGCGCTGAAAGCAAGAAAATGGTAACAGCGGCCGAGGAGGGGGAATAGCCCTCCGGTGGGGTCGAGGGCAAGGAGGCAGCCTGGAAGATGGCCGCAGGCCGCTCCTGGAAGGGGATTAATTATAAAGAGAGTATTAGTAGGGGGGGGGGGGGAGGACGGGCTGTGCAGGGCCAGAGGGAGTGAGCCGGGTTGGTGGCGTGGCGGTTGGAGGGCGGGGCAGATGGAATACGTGAGTTTTGATGGGATGAAAGGGGGACAGACTGGGGAGTGGGGCTCGTCAAGTAGCGGGGTACGTTGAAAAGGAGGAGCTGGAGGGAGTTCTGGGTTATATGGCAATGTCTCGGGTGGGCAGGCCCCTGGGGATTCCCCCCCCCCCCGCCCTCATCCCC